CCGTATGTAAGGTGATTATTTTTTTGGAGAGAGGGTTTTGATCCATCAGGCAAACAGTAGTTTCCAGGAGGACAGTTTTGTCGTTTTCAATAACGTGTTATATGTCTTCAAATTATTTTTTGATCAACTTTTACACATCAAATGACTGAAATATCATAATTTGTAATTTCAAGTCATCTTTTATTAATCATACTGAGTTCTTTCAGCAAATTTAATTTCAGATGATTTAATATTAAATTTAGACCCCATCATGCTTTATTGTACAAAATGGGTGGCACAGACCCTTGCGTTAGCTAATATTTATCAAATGGTGAACGTTAAGATAGTTATTGTTATGCAAATGATGTCTATTATTCTAAGTACTTAAATAGTTTACAATTTTGTAGTTTTAAGGTGGAAATGATGTATCATTATCTCTCCACATTGCTGTCGCTTCTTAAAAGGTTTCCAAAAGRACTTATTTGGAAAAAGGAATCATAAGTTTTGCAAAATGATTGTTGGTCAAATTTATGAGCTTCCTGTAGCAATCGGCTTACCCTACAAGGCCGTCTCGTGAAATTATTATAATAAATAATAATAATCTAAGCTTATATAGCGCTTATATAGCTTTTTCTAAGCGCAAATAAAAAGGTAAAAATTGAAATAAGTTTAAGTAGAGTTACAGATCATAAGTTTGTTTGAATAAGTAGGTTTTAAGAGCAGCTTGAAAGTTGTCCAGTGAAGAAATGCATCCGGCTGACTGAAGATGGGAGTRAATTCCATAGTGAAGGACCAGCAACACTATAAGAAGGAAAACCATAACTTTTAAGATTGTACAACTTGGAAGACAGTAACAGTTGAGACGACGAACGAAGAGAACGAGGAGGACGATATTTCACAAGCATGTCTTGAACATAAATAGGAGCCAGGCCATGAAGAGCTTTGAAAGTTGGAAGAAGAATTTTAAACTTGACACTTGCGAAGACAGGAAGCCAGTGAAGATCGATAAGTAGAGGTGTAATGTGGTCACGTTGTTTAGAAAGCTTGATTAGACGGGCACTGGCATTTTGGACAGCTTGTAGGCGATCTATCAGATATTTAGGGAGGCCGTAATATAGTAGAGAATTGCAATTGTCAAGTTTTGATGATATAAACGAGTGAACAAGGATTTCAGTAGATTTAACAGACAGGAATGTTTTTGATTCTTGAAATGTTTCGAAGATGATAAAAAGAGGATTTGCAGGTCATTTTGATGTGATTAGCCAA